TAATTGCCACCTGTTTTTCAAAGAATGAATGACCTCACTAATAGAACTCCACAATGCTATTATTTTGAACATGCCCCTTTCAATTAGTGATTCTATTACACAGAATCAGCAGCATGCATGTCATGACTGTTGGGTCTGTTGGATTTCTATTACTCTACTACACCTGCTAGTAAATTATTTGCCATGTAGAAATATCATTTCTAAAAAAACAGTGATTGATCAGGTTAGTGATGTCTGACTGCTATTATTTTGAACACAACTGTGTATATATATATATATATATATATATATATATATATATATATATATATATTCATTCATTCATTCAATTTTAAAATAAGGTAACAAGATAAAAAAATACCAGCTTTATCACGATGATGGTGCTAAGTACATATCCATGTAAAATATCTAGTAACCACAGAGCAGTAGTCATCCCTGAAGGAGACAGGCCTGATCTGTTACATAGGAAACTATTAGCTATAAGGTATGTACCATATGTCCTAAACCCAGGACACTAAGAGCTGATTTTTATGTTCATTCATGAGGAGTGAGAAACAACTTCACTAACTTTTCAGCATAGTATAATACAAACAATGTAATACTTTTATCTAGGTGCCCCAGGTATTTTAGGAACCTAGAAATGCCCCTGGATCTGCCTATCTTGCCCCACTACTCAAATAAAAATAGTAACTAGAAAGTAAAACAAAGCTAATAATACTCATCTTACACCCTGGTCCTGGTGACCTAGGCAAGGGTGATGTAAATGGGCCTTCTTACAGGATCAATGGAAAGCTACGGATCCTAACCACCACAAAAGTATGCGCCTACACAGTGCTGGAATGTCACAAGATTTGGTCATAAGTCATCACCTCTGCTTGCTCTGCACTCTGCACATTCCTTGCCAGCACATACTGTATGTATGCAACCTAGCCTGCCTGGCACCTAGCCAAATTAAGTCACTAAGACAAATAGAGGTAAATAAAAACCTAATGAAAGTTCTAACTCTTCCCTTATTCTAGAAAACAAAATAAAACAAAAACAAAAAATAAAAAGCTTTATATACACTTTAATTGTTTTTTAAAAGAATATACAACTGCACTAAATGAAATTTTATATTTGCTTTAAAATTCATAATCAAAATTGCCTTATGTTATAGGCCTTACCAAAATATTAACATTTTTAAATGCTTGCTAGCTTTTCTAATTTATGACATCATAATTATATGAACAGTAATTTTACCTAATGTTTATAAATAGTAAGAAACAAAACAAAAAAACAAGCAGCCCAGTGCTCAACGCAATATACCAAAATATTAACATTTTTAAATGCTTGCTAGCTTTTCTAATTTATGACATCATGATTATATGAACAGTAATTATACCTAATGTTTATAAATAGTAAAAAAACTATAGCTGGAACTATAGCTGGCTGCCTAGAGTAGCCCCTGTTCCCTTAAGGCAAGCTGGCTAACCAGTACTTGGTTGCCCCTTAGGTCTTAGAACACAATGCTATAGTTCCTGGCCAGACAGCACATAGTTGCCAACAGTCATGGACATTCATGGAAATCAGACAGATGTCCTGCTCAGAGCTTGTCCGGGGCAAAATCCCCAAAATTAGGCTCAGTCATGGGCAGCAGGAGTTTGGCACTGACACAAGTATCACAGCACAAAAAAGCAGCTCTGCTGGGGTAAGCAGAGATTAATGCTCACAGAGTCAGATCCTCCCCTTACCTCCTCCGCTTGCATGAAGTCACGTGGTTCCTTTCTCTCACTTGATTGGTCAGTACTAGCAAGGGGCAGTGGCTAGCCAAGGGTGATCATTTTGTGGGAGCATGTGGAGAGGTAGAGGAAGCTGCTACTGAACAGGCCACGACACAGCCGGTGGACACACAGTCTCAGCCTCTGTCAGAGTGGCTGCAGACCAGACCGAATCAGGCCAGACCAGAGAGGAGCAGGTGTGAGATGGGGAAACAGCTCTCATTGTTTGAACACTGTTTGTGTGGAGTAAATTATTGTGTGGAGTAAATTAAATGTTCGGGACTGACATTCTGCAGTTTAGCCACAAGATGCTACTGTTTTCCTAACACAGCCTCAGACTGCATAGATATTTCTATATTCATGAAGAGGTGGGGTTTTCACACAGAGTTTAGAGAACAGGAAGGAGAGAGAGCAGCCATGTTTGGAGGATGGTGAATGGAGGAGCCGTGTGAGCAGAGAATCTGATGGCATCCAGGTGTGAGAGCATCCCTCAGTAACCAGAGCTGCAGCTAAGTGAAGCTGATCATGTCTATGACCCTGATCCTGTTCAGAGAAAGGAAGATTGCTGCCAGGAATGCTGATGAGAGCAGAGGAACAAAGCAACATACACTGCGATACCGCATGCTTGTTGGAGAGACATTTGTTCTGTTCAGAGTCACCAGCGGATGCAAAGCAGATCCGGGTCGGTAAGATCGTGCACGCACCTCATTTTAGTGTTGGCGCCCAGAGACTGAGGCCAGGCCTATAGTTAGTTAGTTAGGGTCTTTGTTTGTGTCGGGCCACAAGTGTCATTACTGATCATTGGAAGGACTCCATAACTTAAAATGACATTTCACATTGGAGAGCTGATAAAATCCCACAAACTCAAGCCAGACTGGCGTTTTGCTCAGAAGGAATACTGTGGCACGTGCTACAGGACCAGTTATGGGAAAGGGAATACTGTAGATTTGTTTAAGATTGTAAGCTGTTGTGCTGCACCGCAGGCTAGCCCATACCGTACACCCATACACTGATTCCTGCTCTTTTAGGGTAATAACGGGTAAGGTGTGGCAGCTTAGTTGTGCCCACCAGTAGGTAAATTACTACACCTTCTACCTTCATCCATCAGGAGGCGCCGTGCTGTGCAGCACAAGGGTCTCAGCCTTTGGGCTGGGTGTATGTAAAATTATTGTATGTTCTCAGCATTTGTGGTTGTGTTTATTTGCCACATCTAAGTAAAATTCTGTTGTGGCAAAAGCTGGTGTTGGGGTTGCTTTCCTCGTTCGTGACTTCACTGTATCCTGGGGAGTCCACCCCGGTACACGTCTTACACAGGGACAGACAGAGGAGGCCGCCTGGACCCACACAGACAGAGGACTGAGCAGCTGGAGAAACAGGTAGACTAATGGCTAATGGGGGCCTTTCTTGTGTGTGGGTTTTTTTTTGGGGGGGGTGGAAGCAGCGGTGGGTGGTCTGTATGTGGACTAATGGCTGATGTGCCCTTTCTTTTCTTTTTCTTTTTTTGGGGGGGGGCGGGGAGAGCAGTGGTGGGTGGTCTTTATATCATGTGGACTAATGGCTGTGATAGGTGCCTACTTTTTTATTATAATTTTTTTTTGTTTGGAGGAGGGCGGAGAGGAAGCTGCAGTGGGTGGCCTGTATGGGGACTAATCGCTGATGGGGGCATTTTTTTGTGGGATCTTTTCTGTTTTTTTAGGGAGGGGGGGAAGAGGAAGCGGCGGTGATTGGTCTGTATGGGTACTAAAGCCTGATGTGGGCTTTTCTTTTTGTTTTTCTTTTTTTTTTTTGGGGGGGGGGGGTGGTCCATTTATCATGGAGAATAATGGCTGTAATGGGGGACTTTTTGTTTTTTTGGAGGTCTATTAGTTTTTTGGGGGGAAACAGCAGTAGGTGGTCTGTATCCCATGGGGATGGCTAATGTTTGTGATAGGGAAGTCGCTTTCTCCTTGCTTACCTGAGGGTCTCACTGAGGGTCAAATGAAGCACAGGATTTCAAGAGCCATTGGGAGGCTCATAGAGTTTTTTACGTTCCTGTATCAGCCAGGTCCTGCAAGCTACAGTTTGCCAAAATTAAAGTATGTAGTTGTAAACATATATGGATAATGGCTGTTTTTAACGTGAGGGAAAAGGGATAGCTACCCTGTGCCCAGTCATTGTTGTAGGGCCCAAAGAAGCTGCCCCTCTCCTGTACTATGCCTGCAGTCTCTGATCCTTTCTTATAGTAAGCCTGCAGTGTCTGACCTTCTCTTGCACTACGCGTGCAGTTTCTGACCCTCTCCTGTACTACTCCAGCGGTCTCTGACCGACTCCTGTAGTGTGTCTACTGTTTCTCAATATCTCCTGTACTACATCTGCAGTCTCTGACCATCTCCTGTACTATGCCTGCAGTCTCTGACCAACTCCAGTACTACGCCTGCAGTCTCTGAACCAGTGTTGTATTATGCCTGCAGTCTCTGACCCTTTCTTGTAGTACTCCTGCAGTCTCTGACCCTTTCTTGTAGTACTCCTGCAGTCTCTGACCCAGTCTTGTAGTACTGCTACAGTCTCTGACCCTCTCCTGTACTACTCCTGCAGTCTCTGACCAATTCCTGTACTACTCCTGCAGTCTCTGACCAACTCCTGTACTAACTGCAGCAACCTCTAGCAACCAATCAGTGAGTGGTAATGATGTGCAGTAACCTCTAGCACCAATCAGTGAGTGTGGAACAGTTCTTTATGTTTACATCACTAAAGTTATTTTTAGATAAGTCTGTGTGTGTTTATTTGTTTTTTGGGATGTTGTGCTGGACAGCAAAAAATTTGGGGGGGGAATCCAAGGAAATCTCAGACTCTATTTAATCTCACACCCTTTAAGCCACGCCCAATATTTAGCATAATTTAAACTATGCGGCACACTCTGCACATCGTTTTTCCAGGTTAAACCACACACCCACAAATGAACACCCCACCCCTAATTAACATACTACTCCACCTACACTGGCTTTCTGGACATACATAAAAAACAGTGTCACTAAAATTTTTTTTGACATGTTGCCAACAATGATGGCATAAGGACTGAGGGACCTGGACAAGGGAGGGCACCTGTAGTCCCGAGTCGGGTCAGGTAGTAGACAGCAGTTTGTAGCAGACTTCTGGACCAGCCTAAGGTCAGGGTAGAAAGCAGGCAAGCATAGTTTAAAATCAATTCTGAGGTAAGGGCTGGTAGCAAGCAAGCGTAGTCCAGTTAACAATCCAAGGTCCAGTTCATTGCCAAAGAGTAATCCAAGTACAAAGCAAAGGTCGTCAACAAGGGAATCTAAGAACATAGAAATGGGTCAGGCACAGGGGCGGACTGACAACTCATGGGGCCCCCGGGCAATAGGGGATCATGGGGCCCCTGTTTCCTTACCCACACTCAAAGCACACCCAAAAAAGCCCATAAAAAGGTACCAGAGGCCTTTCATGGGGCCCCCTACTGACCCTGAGCCCTCGGGCAGTGCCCGAGTGCTTGAATGGTCAGTCCGCCCCTGATGAGGCAGCGAAAACACACAGATGCCAGGAATCTAACACACAAAGGCTCTCTCTTTTGCTCTTGCTTTTGCTTTACACAGCATTTGACAGGCGGTGAGCAGGCACTGTATTGCCTACTCATTGCCTGCTTTAACCTCTTAAACCCTGCACTAGCCCTTGCAGGGGTGTTTGCAAAGTAGCCCCATTCACTTGACTGTGTTCCACTTAGCTAGTGATAGGTCCACTGAAAGTGACAGGGAATATAATTCCTGCAGAAACTGCAGCATCTATACGCCACTGGCTGCTGCCACTGCAGCTAAAGGGTGAGCAGTTGTGTGGGCAGTAAAACACAGCTCAACCATGGGCTTTTACCACCCCATAAGTGTGAATGAGCCCTAACACCGCCTTAAAATGCTTAGCAGGATTGTAGTTGTTGTTGTTTGGATTGTGTTACCTTCAATGGTCCTGCTACAGGTACTTTATCTGATCAAAAAGAAACATAGTTAAAAATATTTTTTTTTTTACCTACCAAAAGCTTGTTATTTAACCAGTTAAGTTATCACACCTGTATACCCCCTATGGACCAGAGCAATTTTTTACATCATTGATAAAGGCCTGCTTGTTTGGCAATAACTTTTCTATTACTAAAGCTGATATTTGATGAGTGATTCTGCAGCTGAAGACAAATTGGCAGCAAGAGAATTGCTAAAGAGGCCATCTCTCTGTCCCAATGGAATTGTTTTCACTGTAGCCAGATGCAGCGAGTGTTCACTCTGTCACTGGCCACAATGCTGCTGAATCTCGATTGCTAGCATTGGGAGAGACCTATTGCTGTCCCAACTACAGAGTGATTCCTATATGCATGGGTCTGCATTGAACACATGTATACCACATGCAGGTAAAAACAATCCTTCAATGAGCCTGTGTAAATGAGGTCTTAAAGTATCTGTTACCCTAACATTTCATATTCCTGACGTGTCTGTTGAACCATGTAATTGTGTTAAAAATGTCCTGTTTTTTTTGTATTGCTTCCTTTGTGTGAAATACCTGGTGATCCTGTCAGTCCCCCCCCCCGCTTTCCATGCCCTGACCATGCCAGGGCATGGAAGCAATCTCTCCCAGTGTGGTCGGTTTTCTAGCTATGCTAGGAACACAGCACACAAATCCGCCAGTGGCCAAGACTTGTGCTGACACATCCCCCTGCACAGCTCTTCACTGGGTAGATGCATGTATTGCTCTTTTTTCTGCCTCCTGATGACACAATCCGACCTCTCCCTCTCTAAGTCCCTTGCAACAGAGAATAGAGGTTTTGCGATCACATAGAAAAAAAAAAGTATTTATAATGCTTTATGTATACCTGGGGCAGACTGACCATTTAGAAACTCGGGCACTGCCCGAGGGCCCGGGGTCAGTAGGGGGCCCCATGAGATTCCCCTGGTACCTTTTTCATAGGCTTTTTTTAGTTTGGGCAAGGACACAGGGGCCCCATGATCCCCTATTGCCCGGGGGCCCCATGAGTTGTCAGTCCGCCCCTGATGTATACATAACCACTTTGCTTTTCATTTCTTTTTTAAACTGTATGGGTGATTTTACAACGTGAGGCTTCACTTTATAACTAACATTCTTGTTACTGTAGATAAAAATACATTTTATTCTATAATATGTCCTGTTTAAAATGACACTAAAATTATGATTTTGGTACAATGCATTGCAAAGTTATATACAAGTGAGATAGAGTTTATTTTCAATGCTACACAAAAAATTAAAAACAGAAAATAGTTTAAATATTAGAGGGGGTGACTGTGATAGCTGATACTGTAGCAGCACCCAAATATTGCAGAGTTCCCCTTTAAGCTGTAACATTTCTAAAAGCAGCTGTTTGCAGAACCAGGTCATCAGCTCACTTCCTCCCCCTCATTTCCTGTGTTCCAGTCTAGCAGCTGACACCCTAACTTTCAGTTGGTGATATTTTATCTAAATGTGAAACCACTAAGGCTATATCCTGAACTGCTCAGAATGTATTTTAAAGGTACAAAAAGTAAAGAGGAAATATATGCATTCTGAAGTAATTGTTGATATATACACCATGTAAGATGCTTTTCAAGGCACTTAGCTTGCAGACACGAGTCTGGCTAGGTCAACCAGCTGGTAAATAAAAAGCTTGTTTTCCTCACAAGTTCGTGTCTGGAGTTTTCCTGGAATTCCCAAAGTTACCGTTACAATACTATGTGCTCTCATTTTGATAACTGGCCCTGCACACTGAAAACGACTTACAATGGCACACTGCCTCTCCAGGCATCCCCACTGTCATCCGCCAAAGCTCAAGGTTAGAAAAGGAGTGTGGCCAAACTGAGGCAGCAGAGAGCCATGAGCCATCTGACCTAGAGTACAGGGAAATCCTCCATCATTTTTCACAAGAACAGGAAAATCCTCTATCATTTCTCATGAACACTGTAACAGGCCAGTCACAGTCTGTAGACACAAAGGGGTTTATTTACTAAGGCTGGAGAGTCCAAAATCAGACTCCCTTCTGCATAGAAACCAATCAGCTTCTAACCTCAGCTTGTTCAATGAAGCTTTGGCAATGAAACCTGGAAGCTGATTGGTTTCTATGCAGAAGTGAGTCTGATTTTGCACTCTCCAGCTTTAGTAAATAAACCCCAAAGGATCAATACAGGGAAAAATATTCAACTTGTTTGAAGGACTTAAAAAATGCCTTTCAATGACACAAAAATCTGAAGTATCAACTCCGAGAATGATCCGGAACTGAAGATGTCGAAACCACCCAAGCATCACATGCTGAGGTGATTCAGCAGCTCCAGCCAAAATCTCACGAAGACAGTACCATTTTTAGACCCCTCAAGTTCAAAATAGATGATCAGGAAAACAGGTCTTGATGTAACAACCTGCGCATGTGAGGTTTCCCTGAAGCTACCAATGAACCTGACTTCCCTGACACTGTTAGAGGGATCTTAATTACAGTCCTGGAAAGACTCACCCCCACTGAAGTCTGCCTTGATAATTTTCACAAAATGCTGTTCTTACCATCTGAAAAGCCACAAGTAGACAGGCAGTAGTCAGGTGGACAGCATGGTGTACAGTGAGGAGACGGTGGTGCTCAGTAATGGACTGCATACCTGTCTCCTGCTGTCCTGTTCTGTAAATGGGTTGCTCTCTCTACTGAGGCTGACAAGCTGCACTTGCTGCTCCTTTTGCTGAGCTACTGTGAAGCTGGACAATCCTGTTAGCACAGGACACTTACAGACAGGGAGATGAGGGGTCCTTTAGCTGCTGGTGGTTTGTCCTCAGAGGTTGTTTTTGGGCACTTAAAGTGTCATTAAACCCACCTCATAAAAAACAATCAATAAATGTTGTATTACATGCAGTTCATGCTCACTAAGTCACTATAGGATTTGTTTTCTGTATTGTGCAAACATTCTGGTAGATCCTGCTGTTCTTTATCCCCCCCTTCTGTTTCATGTCCCCAATGCAGTTGGGGATTTTGCAGAGCAGTGTTGGCAGCTACTGCACATGCTCAATTTTCAGTGAGTTTCTATGCTGACCATTTCCTGTCTATCACATCTGAACAGTCAATGTGACTATAGAGTCACACATGTGGGTGTATACACAGTGGTAAATGACAGCCAACTCCCTCTCCTCCTTCATGCCCACTAATCCCCAAACATTATTGGGATGGGATGTTACATCTTGATTGCTGGAGGCTTCACCTCCCTGTTATTCTAAGACACAGGCTAGGGGTACGTGACACAGCCTGTGACTGGCAGAAATCTGCCCACAACATGTTATTGCCAAAAAGTAATAAATCTTAAATTTCAAATATACAGTATATTTGTATGATGATTTAAAAAAGTTTATTGATATTAACTGTTTAATCTTACTCTGTATCCCATCTGTGCTCCCTGGGTGGATAAAAACGGTCCTCTGTACTTGTGTACAGATCCAAGTGCCTGTGTGAATGAGCCCTTAGGCCCATAACTGGGTGGCTTGGAGACCAAGTGTGCTTAAGTACATAGGCCCCCTGGGTTTCCCCAGTGTGCTGGAGATGTGGACTGGCTCCTGACCCTTTCATTCATTTGGTGGCTCAACAGGTTACCTTGGTTATTGTGTAGTGTTTCCTCCTTGTGTTTCCATTGTCTTTGTGATTAAATGTACAATGTTTGAATGACTTTTTTCTTTTTATTGGCATTAATGCCATTCTACCACATCTTTCTGCTTACAGAATATGAGTGTACCCAGATATATAGAATATTTGTAAAAGATATATCACATTTTGACTGTAATACACTGTACTAGTATGTGCACTTTTCCTGTTTTTTTCTCTGCCTTTTTGTAAAAGATTAACAAAAGTTCTATTTAAATATTACTAGTTAGAAAAATAGAATTAAACAGAAAAAAATAATCTGGAAAATAATAATTAAAGCATTCTACACTCTCAAATATTTTTGTTATTTAAACTACTGTAGGTTTTAGTGTAGTTTTACCCTGTCTTGTTTCTTCGACTTACCATATAATGATAGGCTCATACGTTGTGGCTCCAGTTTTTAGTGTCATGGCTAATTGATTCCCCTACATTCATATAATAGTTCAGCTAGCTTGTCCCTAGGGGCAGACAACTTAGGTCACACAATGTCCAGTGCATGCTTTGTCATTTCCTCTGTACTGCACCACAAATGTAGGAGTGCTAATGTGATGAAACAGATCTCTTCCAGCATGTGTGAGCTATCTCTTAATTGGTCTGCCTGTTTTCGTGTATTTCAGATCGTATTGCTATTTAGCTCTCACCTGCAGAGCACTAGACTGAGAGTTCCAGGGATTGTGGGATATGCAGTTTCTTCACAACAAATGTCAGTTCTCACACTACAGACAGAGGTCATGCATTAAAAGATAAGTTCACTTTTTTTACAAAAAATAATAAATGCACAGGTATATACTATAAACTGTGTACAGTGCAACAAATAACACCATGGAACTAAAGGGGAAAACACAAGGTGCAGGTCGGAAGGTTTATAAAGCCTTTAGGAAAAGTAGCACAAGCAGTCCCCACAACTGGTTAAATATGACTTGCACACTGCGTGAAGATTCTCTTCTACTTCATGGTTCAGCTTTACTGATTCCTGGATGAATTCTCTGTTTATTGGACCAGGTGATGATGTTGATTTACTGGTGACAAATGTTGCAGTAACGTAGAGCCAGAAAATACAAAAAATAAAGCCTGGTATACACGGTAAGTTTTTTTTGGGGATAAGTGCAAAAAACTGAGCAGGTCACGAGTAGGTCTCTGTACTAACTATTCAATGTTAAAACAGTGATCTCCCCGCTGTGCTATTATATTCTGACATTTAATCGCCACTGGAGTTTTTTATTTTTTGTACTCTAAACAAAAAAAGAGTAAAAAAATTTGAAAAATAAATTATTTTCTTTGCTTCTATTATAAAATGTTGCAAACAGGTAATTTTTCTCCACTGATGTGCGCTGATGAGGCTTCACTGATAGGCAGCACTGATGGGCACTGATGAGGTGGCATGGATAGGCAGCACTGATGGGCTGCACTGATGAGGTAGCACTGCTGAGGCGCCACTGGTGGGCATTGATGAGGAGGCTCTGATGCTGCTGCACTTATATGCAGCAATGATGGTCACTGATAAGCGGCACTGACCGGCGACACTGACGGCACTGACGGGCGGCACTGCTGGATGGCACTGCTGAGCACTGATGGGTGGCACTACTGGGCACTAGTGGGAGGAACTGATGGGCACTGGTTGGAAGCACTGCTGGGTGGCACTGCAGGGTACTGCTCATCAGGGCACTGATGATCAGTGTCGATCTCCTCTGTGACAACTACCAGTAATGGGCAGTACTTTTCTCATGCTGTGACAGCGTGAGGAAAGTGCTGCCGATAACCGGCAACTGTATTTTCTCAGTGGTCACGTGGTAAAAGGCCGCTGTGATTGGCCTTTTACCTCATCACGTGATCAGCTGTGCCCGTAGGACAGCGATCATGGAGATCGCTGGGTGTGCGCTGCTGGGGGTGCACGGGAGGGCCCGTTCTGGGAGGACATCCATATGACGCCCTCCCAGAACTGGATAACTGCGTTGTAGCCATCATTCGGCCATAGCGCAGTTAGCAAGTGGTTAAATACTCTTTTGTTTTTAAGGGCCAGTTCACACTACATGCATTTCAGTGTGATTTTTTTCTGCATCCAAAATGCACAGAAAGTAATTTACATGGTTGTCAATGTCATAGTTCACCTCAGTGGTTGCAGTTCCAGTGTAGAAAAAAAAATTAGAATAGGCTGCATTTTTCCTGCACAGAACTGTATTGGAACATGGCAAAAACACATCAAAAACGCACTGGAATGCACATGTCCCTATTCAAATTGAAGAAAAAGAGAGGGGAAAAAAATGAACAGGAATGCATCAAAAATGCACCGGAACGAGTCAAAACGCTCATCCAGAACGCATCTGAACTGCATTTCTGTGGTGTGAACCAGCCCTAAATCACAATTCTTGATGCTCAGAAATAAAAATGGAATCATCATCATAGTGAATCATAATTATTTCCCCCTTGTTATTTCCATTTATTTTAAAACAATATTTATGTTTCTATGTAAAATATATAATTTTTATTCATAATTTTAAAACTGTATCTTCCTTGGTTTATTACTTGTATGTTTACCTTTACTGGTTACTTGCAATAAAACCTCTAAAAAAGTAATTTAAAAAAAAAAAAAAACTAAATCATAAATCCTTTGGTATGCAAAACAATAAACACATGTGTATCTAGGCTGTGTATTTAGGTTTTTTGCCTGAAGATACCCTTTAAGATCAGTGTTATGTGTCACTTTACATACTACGGATTGCAATCTTGTCAGACAGGAAGACTTTTTTTCAAAAAATGATTAATGTGTTAGAGCATCAAAGCATTTCTGGTTGACTAGGAAGATGTTACACTTATTATCTTTGTGATGATCTTTATCACATTTTTTTAAATTTCCAGTGAAGAAGATGTAACATCTCTGCCCAAACTTGCTGGATCACATGTCCGTGGTCATGTGGACCCTACCACTGAAAAGTTGGTTTAGTGACACATTACCTTCCACATGCTAGTGGAGGGCATGGATAGATAGCTTCTCAACAAAATGGTGGATGGGCACCTGCCATTGTGGTGTAGCATAGGCCATACACTAGAGAAAGGAGGCCAACTCCATAAGCTGAAATGGGAGCATCCAGCAGTTTTAAAGCTGGCATTGAGCTTCTGGGTTAGGTGCTTAAGGAACATTTTTTTTCTGCTCCTGCAGATGCAGAAGAGACACCTGTCTTGTGAATGATTCTGCAAGAGATTTATGGCAAAATTTTAGCCTATGCTTGACCAAACTCAACATGGCACCATGCTGATCCTCTTCGCAGTGGCGTAACGAAAGCCTCTGAAACACCTTGTGAAACTTCAGTATTGATGAGGCTGCTGATATTGCAGAGGATGCATCTGAAGAATCTTGTGAAGTTTTGGAAGAGGTGGAAAGTAAGGAAAGAGGTAAAGAAGTGCAAGCCTTTTGCTGTAGACCAGAATCATTGAGGTGCTGCTCCCAACAAACTTTTGTGATGCAGATTCATGCATCCCGTCATGCATGTGGCCCTCAAATAGCTGGTATTTTTACCAACGATGCTGTCTGCAGCAGTTTTGTTAAAAAAAGGTCCACATTGCAGAGCTTTGTAATCTGGCCCTAGAGATAAAAGTAGCTGCACTCATGGGGCAGTGCTGTCTGGTGAAATAAGACGACTACTCTATTCAGTTATTTGTAAGCTGCTGTCGCTGACCCTGGATAAATTCATCCCTCACTGTTATTTTCCTAATTTTTTACTCTTCTCCAATCTCAGGCACCCAAGTATAGTCTACCACCTCATCATCCCCACCCTCCTTATTGCTGGAGACTACTTGGCAATAAGCTATAGCTGCAGGTACATCACTGCATCTTGCAGCTTCTCTATACGGTCCTAGAACGTTTTTTCCATGTATCCAAAATAAGGAAGTAAGGAAATTTTATGAGTGACCAAGATTCTTTTCCTGCACCAAGTGACTGATGCTGCTGTGAAATAATTCTGTCAACTCCTCCAGGACAGTTTGCGTGGCTATGGCAGAAATAGCAAAAGGAAGAGCAGAAAGAAAAAGATGGCAGAATTTTGGCATTTGAAAACAACTGTCCTGCTCCGGGGAGAAGGAAAAAGACAAAAGCTTTGTCAGCTACTCAACTACCTCCTCCATGGGCTCTAGCTGTATAGCATGGCCACTCTCATAAAGAAAAGGTGATGTGCCCTGTCTATCAATGGTGCAGCCCAATACCACTTTGTCCTGAAGAACCTGCTTGATCCTACAACTTCTGCCTAAGAATATCTGCCTCTCCCTTTATGCCTACCTGAAAAAGAATTGGCTAACTTTAATGTCAGCTATGGCAATTGGGGGAATAAGGATATAGTGCTTTGGTGCACTAAAGATGTAGTGATTTGGTGCACAACACTTTAGCAAAAGGAAGCATTTGGTGACGTTCAGCAAAGGGCAGCTTTGTCTGTGTCACTAACAAGTTTAATCTGTGAACCTCAAATACAAAAAATGCAAAGAACTGTATTCCATATTCAGGATGTAGTCTTACATAAGATTTATACAGGGACAATGCTATACATGTGTTTCATGTTTGCATTTCCATTTCTATACATTGCAAAATGTTTGTCCTACCCAGGTAGCCCTTTCACATATATTGAGAATGTCCTGCCATACACCCTTTTTGGCACCTGGCCAAATCTATTATTGAAAACCTAATTGACCAAACTATACTTCCTGACCCAGTTCATTATCTGTCGAGCCTACCAACTATCAACATACTTATGACAATATCTCTCATGGGTGCAAGATGTCTAACAGCACTAAAGTGACAACAAGTGACACAGTCAACTAGACTAGACTAGGCAATAATCAGCCTATAAAAACTCATGTATATTGTCCATAATATGGAATACGTTATCACAGAGACTGAACACTTTCAAAAAATCGAAATTTGGGCCCCCTGGACAACCATGACAACAGCTAACTGCAATCTATCCGTAATGTGGTACAGCCCCCTAAAATAAGAACAGATCTACAAACACGCTAAAATGCTACAAGAGAACAGAAATACTGTTACCATTCCTTGAACAGAGATGTTTGATTTTGTTGTTGAAACACTCAGATGGTAAGGTAAGAATTTGGCATAAACAACATGAAAGCATGGATCCATCCTGCCTTGTATCAACGGTTCAGACTGGTGGTGGTGGTGTAATAGTTTGGGAGATATTTTCTTGGCACTAGCAAGGTGTACCTAATAAAGTGGCCAGTGAGTGTATATAAAAAGTTCATCTGCATAGGATGTATACCATATTTACATTATTGTGCTACAATCTTTCCTACTACCCCTTCCTATATATAATTTCTCAGTTCTGCCTGAGTGTGCTTCTAGCAGGTTTTCCTGATAGACGGAGATGACAGCCATGCTTCCATAGTTAGGCTCGTGCTTCTTGGGTAGACCTATTGAGAGATTGTTCTAATATTCTTGTACTATTTTCTCCACATGGCAGACACTGGTAAATGTCAAAGACACTTGATACCATTATGCTGTACATACAACTTTGAAGGCCTTGTCTCGGATGTTTAACATGGCATATGATAAAGTCAAATTGTATGAGTTTTTCCATCCCCTTTCCATAGAAGTAAAATTATATACCAGGCTACATTATATATTTCTGCAATATATGTGGCACCATTCTACAATACTAAAAAAAAAACAGAATTTTATATAAACAGCAGCTTCCTAGTGGTGGCAAATTTAAGATTCTCAGAGGTGGCATCTTAAAATATTTCTTTATGTATCAATGCTTTGAGGAAATTATTATTTATGGCTATACGTTCTGTTAATTATGGACATTTCTCGATTTGTAGATCTTATTGCTGGCTATGCATAGTCAAATCTTTTTTGGATTTTTAAATCAGTCAGGTCAACTGGCTACATTTAATGTATAGCTCTGCTGTAACCAGCTGAGCTGCAATTCACTTTTTTTTAAAAGAGAAGTATGGGTTTACTTTTTTTAGCTTTATCCTATTCCCTGTGGGCTGCTAATACATAAAAATATTTCCAGCCCTCTGAGAAGTGCACCCTTTCTGTTAAAATTGAGGTAAATACCTTTGGGAGGGGCTACAGTCTTTTCTGGATTCTTATGCTGACAATCTTGTCTGGATCCACCTCCTTTTCTTCTCCTGTGTTTGATTGATGTCAGCTCTGGGCTGTCAGCTCTCCCCCCCCTCCTCTGCCTTCCCCTCCCTATTCCTCTCACACAACACACAGCTCAGATCGATTCTCTTACAGACACCTTCTATCTGCACACTGTGTAGCTGCCTGCTATTCTGCAGTTCTGATATGTGAAATTCCCAAATAAAAGCAGCTGTGAGCTGTGAGCTGTGTGTTGTGTGAGAGGGGGAAAGCAGATTCCACAGAGAGCTGGTTCTACAGAATGCTGCCTTGGGGGTGTCTATCAGGCTCCATGCACACTGGACGTTTTGATAACGCTAGTAACGTTAGCTGTGTAAAGTCATGTTAAAAACGTGTTTTTTTTTTTTTTTTTAGCAGTTTTGCATTAGCATTTAGCGGTGTTTTGCCGCGTTTTCCCCGTGTTTGCGTTTTTTATTTATTTTTTTGCACCAAAAAAAAAACCATAATTTTTTTGGTAAAAAAAAGTTCAAAATCGCCGGTTTGCAGCGTTTTACCGCATTTTGCAGCATTAGAGCATTTTTACAGCTAAAAAACTCCTCTAGAAACCCACTAGTCCTGGGTTTTTTTTTTCAGCCAAAAAACGTTTCTGCCAAAAAACGTTGACTACAGTCTATGTATGCATGGACACATAGGATAACATGCTGGGGAGTTTACTGACTGTATAAAAAACTGTCAAAAGCCAAAAACAGCAGCTGTAAAAATGTCCAGTTGCATGCGGACTCAAGGATCTGGTCTGGCATCATGGAGAAGAGGCTGTTCTCTTGGGCCTTGTGAGTACAGACATGCTAAGGATCTCATAGACTGTTGCTGGAAATCCCCCTCTGTTGTGCTATAATCAGCTAAGTGTCCAGCCAAGGGAACACTGGCTAGTGTACCAAAGAACCTCTGTCCAGCTTGCACAGCCGCTTGACTTTGCTCACATTTACTGCTACTGCCGCTACTACCTACAAGGGGAAATCATCTATCTGTTCCCAGCAAGGGCTTCAACAATAGCTCGACCAAAGATCAGATAGAGTCCTCAGTTGTATATAGTTATATTCTTGGAGTATACTACTAAATCCCCCTCTCCCTATCCTAGTTCTCTAATAATAAAACTACAAAACAACAACCCTTAGACAGACCATTGAAGACAATGAGTGAATGTGTGTGTTCACCTGACTGTAAAGCTACCTTGAGCTTGGCTGCTAGACAAAATTGGGGAAGACTTGGGCAAAGGGGTATGGCTACATACTTTTTGTTCCACCAACTAAATAATAATAATAATAGCTAAGGGGATCTGATCAGGGCTCTCTTCCCCTGGGGTTCCCCCCTGCGGGTAGGAGGGGAGCTGTGTGTGTGTTCCAGAGAATCACTGCTACTAGGCCTCAGCATGTGTTATGGGATGGGGGCATGAAAGAAGACTTGCCTAAAGGAAACTTGTCTGTGAAAGCTCAGCTGGAGAGGTGGGTGCCTTTCACCTGAAGCTCCAGGTATGGAAGCACTTTGTGAGGATGAAACACCAGAAGTTGCTACAAGGACTGTGATTGTTCTAATAATTTCTCAAATTTGCTTGCTGTCCCCTCTTTCTTCAGCTGCATTTTGAGGCTTCAGCTATAGGGTCTAATACCGCTGATAAGAGGATTTTTCAAGAAGCTGTCCTCTGATTTTTGTGCCTTCAGGTATTCTACACAGTCAACCCTCCTCCCTGCATTTTGATTTGCATGCAATAAAAGGTAAAAAGACCCTTAGACTGAGCCTGAATTTGTTGGTGTGCTTCTGGGACTGGAAACGGTGGGCAGCCTCTGAACAGGTAAGGGGGTCCCAATTTTTCCAGTAGCGCCTTTGGGGGTCATCGTTACAATAATCATATTTTTAATTTAACACGGTTATAGTTATAGCACCTGAATAAAAAGAATTGCATTTCTGTATTCAAGAACTTTTAAATGTCTTGTTTTAGCTTTCCAAAAAAATTATTTTCTGCAAATTTACATAGAAAGAAAATAACGGCCTAAAACTGCTTATACATGAATTGTAGGCTGCCATGGTTTAAAGAAAAAAACACTTCATGTGTTAGATGGTGCAGTCAGCATCTTTTCTGATATATTTTATTAACATAATGCCAAGCAGTATCTGGCTATGCAGAACTAGGTCACTTATTTATTGAAAGGAAGAATGACCTATAGTGGTCAAACTTTACATAATTGAAACATGGATAGATCTCAGTTTTCTTTTTCTACATACCCACTGACCTATATTAAATCAACCTGGTTGGAAAAATGCCAGGGTTTCCTAGACGACCTTTCTCTTGTATGCAGATTACAATGTGATCCGTTTTATGAGCCGACTTTACAGCAGCTTGTGTGAAACATGTCTTATGGTATGTATGTAGGAACTCAGTGACACTCAGAGGCTCTGTCTCTTAAGGGACTTAGGAGAAGGCTATGTCTATATTAAAAATACACAGTGTCGTCAGTTAGGTCACCAGCACAGATCACACAGTCCTGCGCATACAGTACATGTCGCACACAGCTCCTGTGATGGTCATTAATAGCTTCTAGCATGAATTTATGTACATACAAATATTTCTGTTATTAATATTGCACCCTTTTTACTATTAATTGTGGTTAATTGTGTACTATTAATTACAGTTAAAAGGACCTCAACAATTTTAGAAAATAAATTACCTCTGCATTCTCTTCTATATATAGGAAGTTGATGCTGTAAATAAAGCATGCCTGAACTACATTTGTATGCATACAGGAAGCTTAGAGACCAATAAAACCAAGTTATATAAAACTTACGAATGGAAAACATTGATGTCTTACAGCAGTTGAAGGTATAAGCAGCTGAGTTAAATATATATATATATACTGTACAGGGGCGGACTGACAACTCATGGGGCCCCCGGGCTATAGGGGATCATGGGGCCCCTGTGTCCTTGCCCAAACTCAAAAAAGCCTATGAAAAAGGTACCAGGGGCATCTTATGGGGCCCCCTACTGACCCGGGGCCCTCGGGCAGTGCCCGAGTTTCCAAATGGTCAGTCCGCCCCTGATACTGTATATATATATATATATATATATATATATATATATATATATATATAGGCAATATTAGCAGTCCATTCAAGATAAATGCCTTGTATTATAATATATGTACAGTATATCTTTATCATTGTGACCAAGTGTGCACCCAGAAATCCTAGTTTATACAGTCGATTCCATTTATCCACTATACATACAGCTGTTTCAATCTTGTAAGCTGGAAATTGAGTCCATAGGGCTTATGGGAAAATGAAAGCATTACAACCATTAAAGTAGTGGTAAATGAAAAATGAACAAAGCATATCATTTTATAGCGTGTACTTGCTTCTATCCAAAGCACCTAGTGTGATATTTGTCTCCTCCCTTGTTCCTGATAGCTGCATGAGTCACTTCTGACAGGGTTAGCCAACACCAAAGAATCCTGGGGGATGTAACCCCCTCCTCCAGCCGTGATTGAAAACCTGAGCGGTGCATGTTTCCCCATGAGACTGTCTAAAGAAGGATGTGTCAATTCCCTTACTCAGGTCTCACATTACACTCAGCTCCCTACTGTATGCTGTGCAGTGTGTGACAACAGATCCTCGCACCCTGCCTTCTAGAGCTAAGGAATGCTGTGTAAATTCTGTACTTTGAACAGCTGTAGAGAAGAGAGGGCTGCAGATAAATAGGTATCACTTATGTAAGTAGATTGGTTTTATCTCTGTTACCTCTATTATCTGTATTACCTGAGGCTTGTCATTTCAGTGGATATATGTAAGGGTCCAAAATTATTCAACCCCCACTTTGAGTGTTTTCACAGTTTGACATGCATTTTGTTGCAGTCATCATTTATTTAGAATGATACCAAAGAGGCACTTGTAGGTCAGACAAATAGCTGTCAATAACCTGTTATAATGAAATAACCACAAATGTCTTATTCTGTGCTGTGCTGCAAAGCAAAAATGTATCAGTTTTATTCAACCCCCAAGTGACATTCAATACTTAGTACACTTAGTACAGCATCCTTTTATCAGTTATAACAGCTTTTAAACGTGAAAGCATAGCTTGACACAAGTGTCTTGCAGCGATCTTCGGGTATCTTCGCCCGATTCTTCATGGGCAAACCCTCCAGTTCAGTCACATTCTTAGGCTTGCGCACTGCAACTGCTTTCTTTAAGTCCCACCAGAGGTTCTCAATCGGATTTAAGTCTGGTGACTGCCATGGAACACTAAAATGTTCCACCTTTCCTCTGCAACCATGCTCTGTGTGGACTTGGAGGTATGCTTGGGATCATTGTCCTGTTGAAAGGTCACCAAACGTCTCCCAAGCCTCAGGTGGTGGTGACGGACTGCATCACGTTTCCATCCAATGGGGCCTCCTGTACTGAAGAGAATTCATGGTACCTTGCACACGCTGAAGCTTCCCTGTACCTGCAGAAGCAAAACAGCCCCAAAGCATGATTGACCCTCCACCATGCTTCACAGTAGGCAAGGTGTTCTTTTCATCATAGGCCTTGTTCTTCCTCCTGCCAAACATAGCGTTGATCCATGGGCCCAAACAGTTCTAATTTGTTTCATCAGTCCACAGAACACTATCCCACAACTTTTGTGGTTTGTCCCACATGGCTTTTGGCATACTGCAGTCGACTCTTCTTATTCTTTGGAGACAGCAAGGGGGTACGCCTGGGAGTTCTGGCACGGAGGCCTTCATTACGCAGTGTGCGTCTTATTGTCTGGGCTGAAACTTCTGTACCCACATCTGACAAATCTTTTCTCAGTTCCTCAGCAGTCACACGGGGACTTCTCTCCACTCTACGCTTCAGGTAGCGCACAGCAGTCGAAGTCAGCATCTTCTTTCTGCCACGACCAGGTAGCGTTTCAACAGTGCCCTTTGCCTTGAATTTGCGAATGATGCTTCCTAAGGTGTCTCTTGGTATGTTTAACATCTTTGCAATCTTCTTATAGCCATTGCCCTTCCTGTGAAGAGAAATCACCTCTTCTCTTGTTCTTCCTGGACCATTCTCTTGCCTTCACCATGTTTGTAACCACACCAGTAAATGTCTAGAAGGAGCTGAGTATCACAGTCATTTTTAAAGCTGCCTAATTGGTGCTTATTATGCTTGATTGCTGCTCGGTGACATCCACAGGTGTTTTCAATACCTGATGGAAAGCACCTGTATGAACCTCTGTTCTTCAGAGTGGTAGTCTTTAAGGGGTTGAATAATTGTGGCAATGAAGAAACCACATAAGAACCATGAATAATTTTGGACACAACTGTATGTAAGGGTACAGCCACTTTAAGGGCTCATTCACACTGATGCATTTTGTTGCAGTGCCATTTATTTAGAATGGTACCCAAACACAATTGTACAATAGCTGTCAATGCACCTGCTATACAGCAAACCACAATGTACATGTATGTTGTGGTGTGCTGCAAAGCCAAAAATGTGTAAATGCAGTTTCTTCTTAAAGAATAATTGCAGGCATCGGTATGTTATACATAGCTACACTGGTGCATAGCAGGCCGATATCCCTGATACTCCTAGTAGCTGAATATCACTGAAGTAGACACCGCTGCTCCAGTAACCTCCACTTGCTTCTGGATCCTGTGCCGCGAGGCTGCACCTCTGTTAACTGAACACAGGATGTTGGCTACTTGGCATGGGTGTTATTCAGAGAATGATTTTCTGAATGAATGCAAAGCATTCTCTGATTGGATGGTGTGGAGAGACAGGCCAGGGAACACTACATTCTCCACCTCATTCAATCAAAGAACACTGAATGGCAACTGTGCCATGACCCCCTGTGTTCACAATGCAGCTGCTTGGCACAGGAACCAGAGGCAAGTGGAGTTCACCAAAGTAGCGGGGTCTGCTTCAGTGATTTCCAGCTTCCAGGGGCATTGGCTTGGTATGGTATATGCATAGTTGTATTGGTCCAGGCTGGGGCCTTGTCTGTTCAAGGATGAGGTTCCAGAACACAAAACACTTCTGTTTTGGAGACTTGTTTCTGAAGGATAGGGTCCTAAATGCCAGTACCACCCGCTACAGTGTTCAGCCCCATCCAGCTGCAGCCACAGACTTTGACAGGTTGCCTGCAGCGAGGCTGCACCATGCACCTGTCCCTCCTGGGTGCACAAACGTTCATGGATGGATGCACTGGAGCTGAATGGCCCCATATAAAAGGAGAATTACAATGGTTGTAAAGGCTGAAGGGTTTTTACCTTCATGCATTCTGTGCATAAATATATAAAAACTTTCTGTGTGCAGCAGCTCCCCCACCTCCCCAATACTTAGCTGAGCTTCATCACGATGCAGCGATGTGAATGACAGCCTTGGCTGTCCCGGGGCTCTGCCTCCTCATTGGCGGAGACAGAAAGCTAAAGCCATTGGCTCCCACTGCTGTCAATCACACCCAGTCAGCCAATGAGGAGAGAGAGGGGGCAGGGCCAAGCCACATCTCCTTATGTGAATGGACACACAGAGCAGGGGGTGCCCCCATAGCAAGCTGCTTGTTGTGGGGGCACCCGAAAGACAGAAGGAGCCAGGGGAGCCTGCGGGGGAACCGGGGGAAGAGGAAGATCTAGGCTGCTCTGTGCAAAACCACTGCACACAGTAGGTAAGTATAGACATGTTTGTTATTTTACAAAAAAAAAATAAAAATGAACCTTTACAATCGCTTTAAGATGTGTTGCCAACCCATTTAAAATGATTGGACAAATGGGGTCCACCTGTCCGTTTCTAAGGCAGACCCAATCAGTCCATCCATAGACTTCTATGGACTGGCGAATGCCAGCATCCAATCCGATCCTGCATTTCAAAAACAGATGGATGAGGATCTGTTCCCCATCTGTCCTGCGGAATGGATCAGATGACAATTGGGTCAAAATGGACAGGCGGTCCATTTTCATCCGACCGTTCCATTAAAATCAGCGGGCAGTGTCTGTATCCGCTCTGCAGCACCAGAGCGAACAGAGACCTGTCATCTGCCTGCTCAGCGTGGATCAGCGAAGAGATCCCCGCTGAGCAGGAGGATCACGCTGACGGATCTGCCCTGTCTGAAAGGGGCCTTAATGCAAATAAAAATTGTGTTATTGCAAAACATAGGGGTCTATTTATAAATGTTTTAATGCAAGATTTACACAACAAATAAAAAAATATGTAAATCTTGGGTGAAAGCTGTATGAATCTTGTTCTAAAGTGCTCATGCGCTGATGGATAAGGTGAGATATACAAACTATCAAAAAACAAATATGATTAGAAAATTTGCAGTAGTCCTGTATTTGTGTAGAATACCACAATGCGTATAAATTAGAAACCAGATGAACCGCGTATAAATATAATCATGTGCATATAATAAAATCCCAAATTGGTGAAAGTACTCATGCTCAGCTTAATTGCAATATCTTGATTCGTCACTCATCCCAAAAAGTGCTCCACAGTGCTCGACCGAGTGCCCCACATGGACTAACACTCACCCTTAGCCAATGACCATCTATCTCTAGAATGGTCTATAATGCTTTAGGGACAATTCCCAATGAGCCAGTTTCTCCAAATCTCCAGAGGTTGGAATAGACATGTTACCATGATAAAAAGAAAAGAAGAGGATATCCTATAGTGTAAAAACTGTTTGGTAGTTTATTGGGGGTAAAACGATTAAAACTCACTTACAAGTGAAGTGTCTGTGCCCGACACCCGGTGTACTCAGCCTTGTTACTCAGAAACATGGAAGCCGCTGTACTGAACACTCCTCAGAACAGAGTGCAGTCCATAGGGCAGAAGTGACGTTGGTGGAAATTGCGTCATCAAACCTCAACACGTTTCGATCAAAGATCGTCTTCAGGAAGTGCAAAATCCGCCATTTTTGGTGATGGTATTTATACCCTTCAGCCGGATATTAATTTAGTATATAGAAACTGCAACATTGCTGAGTACATTTGGTGCTACACAATTTTGGGCTTCATGTTGCTTATGCTGACATTAGTATGCCATATACAAACAAATATAGTACAGTATAAAACCTTCCATAATA